CATAGAACCCTTTTCAAAAAGGTTCTATATAGAACCGTTTATAGCACATTCTTTGAGTGTTCTCTGTAGAACCATTTTCTTTACTAAAGAACCCTCAAAGAACCATCTTTGAGAGTGAAGAGCTTAGGTGCCAATTATATGTAGTAGTTTAAGTGATTTATTCTCTGCAGCTGTTTTTGTTTAACACATTTATTTATTATATTTACACCAATCAGGCATAACATTCTGACCACCTCCTTGTTTCTGCGCTCATTGTCCATTTTATCAGCTCCACTTACTATATAGGTGCACTTTGTAGTTCTACAGTTACAGACTGTAGTCCATCTGTTTCTCTGATACTTTGTTAGCCCCCTTTTACCCTGTTCTTCAGTGGTCAGGACCCCCATGGACCCTTACAGAGCAGGTACTATTTGGGTGGCGGATCATTCTCAGCACTGCAGTAACACTGACGTGGTGGTGGTGTGTTAGTGTGTGTTGCGCTGGTCCGAGGGGATCAGACACAGCAGTGCTGCTGGAGTTTTTAAACACTGTGTCCACTCACTGTCCACTCTATTAGACACTCCTACCTTGTCAGTCCACCTTGTAGATGTAAAGTCAGAGACGATAGCTCATCTGCTGCTGCACAGTTTGTGTTGGTCATCCTCTAGTCCTTCATCAGTGGTCGCAGGACGCTGCCCACAGGACGCTGTTGGCTGGATATTTTTGGTTGGTGGACTATTCTCAGTCCAGCAGTGACACTGAGGTGTTTAAAAAAACTCCAGCAGCACTGCTGTGTCTGATCCACTCAGACCAGCGCAACACACACTAACACACCACCACCACGTCAGTGTTACTGTAGTGCTGAGAATGATCCACCACCCAAATAGTACCTGCTCTGTGAGGGTCCATGGGGGTCCTGACCACTGAAGAACAGGGTAAAAGGGGGCTAACAAAGTATCAGAGAAACAGATGGACTACAGTCTGTAACTGTAGAACTACAAAGTGCACCTATATAGTAAGTGGAGCTGATAAAATGGACAATGAGCGCAGAAACAAGGAGGTGGTCAGAATGTTATGCCTGATCGGTGTGAATATAAGAGGCAATAAACATTAATCAGCTCAAAGGTAGATGTACCAGCGTTAGTCAGCTGAAAGCAGATGCAAAGCAGCAGTTCACACACAGGTGAGTTAGCACAGCAACACGAATGTGAACTGAAAGCTATAATGGGTGAATAAAACCCTCCTTTTGCCCCGACAGAGGCGTTTATGATGAAATCGTCCCCTGCCACTTGTTACTGAGATCAGATTCTGTACACAGATCAGGTTCTGTAACACAGACGGCTCCAAATAAATAGGAATCTGCCTGTTCTTGCCTCGAAATTGCTGGAGGGGACCGTTAACAATATGACACTTGAGCGAGAAGAGCCATAATCAGCTCTGTAGACAGACCTGATCTACACTACATGGAGAACGGAAGGTTGTGTCACTTTCTGTTAGCTGGGAAAAGTTCGGCGAGAAGTCTGATTGACTGTATGACATGCCATTCGTCTGTCTATCCACGTTTAGGTGACAGTTTATACCACATAAGCAGGTCTGTTAGACTTTACTTGATGGGGAATCCCAGTTTTTGAAGTGGAATTATAGTAATTGAGTGTTTGAGGTGTAAACAGAGTGATTCAGAAGGGGTTTCTTTACAGTGGTGGTGATGGGAACCAGGGGTCACCATGACTACAACACAAATATAGACATTTTATGTACTATCCAGAACCTCCAGTGAACCTACACGAGTCTTCTGAGTTATTTGAACAATGTTGATGATGGTAAAATAATGATAAATCTTAAAAAAAATAAGTTTTCTTTGGGGCCTATTTTGCCTCACAAGGTCTTGCATGTACAGCTCCACCATTAATAAATTGGGGAAAAAAAAAGTTTTATGCTAAAATGTTATCTCAAGACTATCATAAAACAATAAATCAGACATCAAACAGAATATTCATAACCAATAATAGCCAATAGGAACCAGCGGTCGCCATGACAACAACACAAATATAGCCATTACTATACTTTACTATCCAACTAAGTTTTCCTAAGTTTTCTTTGGGGACTATTTTGCCTTAGAAAGTCCTGCATGTATCCCTCCACCATGAATGGAGTTTAAGTTCTCAAAACTATCATAAAACAGTGTCTCAGACATCAGGCAGGGAATTCATAACCATTTCATGTAGTAACTTTCTGTGAGGGAGCTTTTAGAGGTGGACGTCTGGTTCCTATCACCACCACTGTGAACAGTTCTGACTCAGTAAGTTTCTGTAGAATGACTTTGTTTACATCTTAACCATTAAATCTATCACGACTCTGCTAATTGTGTCAATTTAAAAGTTTAAAGTATTTTTTTTTATAATTTTCTGGTATTTTCCATAAAAGGTGGTGTTACTTGTCTGCTGAAATGCAGGGTTCGACCCAGATTACCACTGCTGGGTTTTTTAGTTCATCCTTTTGCAGTTGTACTCACTGAATTAGAATTAGTCCACACAGAGGTGCCTAGCCGTGCCATTGTCTGTTAAGGTGATAAAAGGTGCTCACTAGTTTGAGTCCAGGCTTTTATCTCATTTACAGTCAGATCTACAATCAGATCTGCGATTAATCAAATGCACAAACTTCTACAAGTGAAATAGATCAGAGTAGGGCTGTCAGCTCCGCTCAGAAATCCGACTGCAGTCCTGCCCTTGTTTGTTTTTCAAAAATTGCAGTATTTTCTGATTTGAAATGTATCATTTGTCAACGTGAAAAGTAAGTTGCAGTGAACGCCAGATTTCCGTGGTTTCCACAATCCACAAGTGGGCGCTCAGCATAAATATCAAGCGTCTCAAAAGCAATCACAAAAAAGAGCTTCTCCCCCGCGAGTCGTGAGATCTGAGACTGACTTCTCCATAAAATCCAGTAATATCATAAACGAGCAGCTTATTTCACTGCCATAAATGCACAACATCACAAGATTACAAACGATTGTCTAAAAGTGTTTGGAACTTTGACTCGACAAAAAAAAGCGTGGAATTATAAATATGATGGTGTTTTAGGGCCACTGTTAATAAAAATAAAAATACTAGGCTTCAAGAATAAAAAGTCGAAATATTTCAAGAAAAAAGTCTTAATATTTCGAGAAAAAAAGTCTCTGACTATTACAAATATACTATTACAACTTTTTTCTCGAAATATTTGACTTGAGCTTATATATATATATTAAAATGTGTGTGTGTGTGTGTGTGTGTGTGTGTGTGTGATATATATATATATATATATATATATATATATATATATATATATATACACACACACACATAAAATATATAAACGAAACTGAAAATCTGTATAAGTCATTGTTTTCAGAGATGTTACTGGTTTTCCAGAGCGAAGAACATGAGAGAATTGGTGACCCGAGTGTGGGCGGAGTTTTAACAGGCTCCTCCTCATAGCCATGGATACCAAGTGAAAGTAACTGAAACTGATTTTGTACAGTGTTACTCTACTGTTATAAATTATTCTTACAGTAGTTTAACTGAGTATAACTATAGACTTTAACCATTTAACTGTCAAATTTGCATTACATTCTAATGCAGCAGATGCTTATTCACTGAGGTTAGCCCATCTGCCCACTGGCCTCTGTTGTAGTGTAATAGTTGCAAAATTATTGTCTGTAAAATTCCACAAATGCAGGAAATAAAAATTAGGTTGAATACAGTTTTTTCAGACTGTGAAGGATCTTTTGAATGACAATCTTCAATCTATCCTCCTTCTGGAAAGCGCTGGATGCATATGTCCTGTAGATCACTTGATCTGGACAGTCGCTTGAACACACCGGCCAGAAGTGCTTTGTGGCCTGCATTTCTGATGCAGGCTGCGTTGTGAATCGCTGCTGTGGACAATAGGTGTGATTAATCAGAAAGAAATCAGAAAGCGCTGCATTGAGAAATAGCGATTAATGACAACACGCATCCGAGCATCTAATGTGTAATTACACTGCTACGTTTAACCCTCATACTCGCAGACATACACCACCCGACAGAATCATCTCATTAGGGCCTCTTTTTCTTTTTTTCCCACTGGAGGACGGCTAAGTGGTCATCAGCGGTGGCCGATCGGCCAAGGCGAGAGTGTGTTGGTGTGTGTGAATGGACACGGGGCTGATTAAGGCCCTGAAACTGCCAAATCAACACGAGATTACAGCTTCTGGCCCCGGGTGTTTGCAGGGGCATGGATGATTTCCCCTCTCCTGTCTGATGAAGAGGAGCTGATGTGCTTTGTCTCTGCTTTAGCTTGAACTCCTATTGAATTTTGTCAGGCTGCACAGAATTCTGTTGGGCTGCAGAGGGACTCGGGCTGAATTTTGTTGGGTTCGGACAGAATTTGGTTGTGCTGCAGTTGGGTTTGGACAGAATTTTGTCGAGTTTGGACAGAATTTTGTTTGGACAGAATGTTGTTGGGCTACATTTGGGTTTGGACTGAATTTTATTGAGTTACGGTTGGGCTTGGACAGAATTCTGTCGGGTTTGGACAAAATTTTGTTGCTACAGTCGGGTTTGGACAGAATTTTGTTGGGTTCAGACAGAATTTTGTCGAGCTGCAGTCAAGATCGGACAGATTTTTAGCTACATTTGGGCTTGGACAGAATTTTGTCGAGTTTGGGCAGAATTTTGTCGCCTCGGTCGAATTCAGACGGAATTTTATTTGGACAGAATGTTGTTGGGCTACATTTGGGTTTGGACTGAATTTTGTTGAGTTACTGTTGGGCTTGGACAGAATTTTGTTGGGTTTGGACAGAATTGTGTCGAATTCAGACAGAATTTAGTTGGGCTGCAGTCAGTTTTGGACAGAAGTTGGTTTCTGTCCTTAACGCTGTGGGTTGAACTATTGTGACATGATTGAGTTTGCTTCAACATTTCAGCCCTCATTAAAGCTGTAACAACAGATCTCTCTCTCTCTCTCTCTCTCTCTCTCTCTCTCTCTCTCTCTCTCTCTCTCAGTCAGCGTAACCTGGCCGAGATCACAGAGCTGATCCACACGGCGTTCCTGGTGCATCGTGGGATTGTGAATCTGAAGGACTGGACGTATTCAGACGGGCCACTCAAGGACATGCAGTTTGGGAACAAAATGGCCGTCCTGAGTGGGGACTTCCTGTTGGCGAACGCCTGCACGGGATTGGCTCAGCTCAACAACACCAAGGTATCTCAGTCCGCACTGAAGAGAGGCTTCAGGAGTCACACAGAGTGTTGATGTACAGACCCAAGAGGGAGGTCAGGGAGGTCAATCAAACCAAAAGCTGATATTAAACACACTATAAAATGGTCATAAAAATTAGGCCAAAAAGCAGTGCGTCAGTCCAGGATGTCACATTATGCACTAAATGAGTAAAAATCAGCTCATTTTATTGTAATATAATTAATCAGAATAGCTTATCGCTCCTGTGGAAACTAAACCTCGTATCTCCAAGTTCGTTCTTTTTCAGTTTTTGAAAAATATTTATTTTTTTATTTAAAAAAGCCAAAATGACTTGGATAAAAATCAGGCTACATTGACTCACATTAAAAGTTTCAAATGTTTTTTCCTTCTGCTGAAAAGTTCTAATTTTGGAGATACGAGGTTTTGTTCCGACAGCAGTGATGTCTAAATTATGCAGCTGTAACATCTGTCAGACCTTTAAGATCAGATGGAACTGGTATGAGCTGATACTCCACATTAAATTGATCTGTATTGGGACGTTAATCGTGATAGTGGATTTAGTCTGAGGTCACCGGTATCAGTATTTTAATGACGTTACCGTGAGAAATCCCTGCTGGGGGCTTTGTAAGCGATGAGTGAACGGTCCTGATTGTGATATTGATTATTGGGTTGTGCTCCTCTTTAGGGAGTAAGGTCAGTGGAGGTTATCAGTAGACCAGTTGAGTGTATTGATAAGCGTACTGTTGGTGTTTAGTGTTGGGATAAACAGCACTTACCGCCGCTGTGTGTATGCGTACGAGTCAGACCACGACCGACTGATTTAATCAACAAATCAATACTGAACCCACAGAGCAGCACCTGCATACGCTCGGAGAGAAACACACACACACGGCACAGTCTGGGCCAGATGTAGTAAATCTTTGGTGTCAGTCGAATTCTGCCCATGTTTTATCATCAGTTATCAGGGACTTCCTGTTAGAAAACGCCTGCACGGGATTGGCTCAGCTGTTGGCGTACAGACACGAGAGGGAACTTTTTAACCATTTTTCACAGAAACTTTTAAAAAGTAGTGGTGCTGAGTGATTATATGACAATTACAGGGAAAACTGCATTGATTAGAGCCAGCGTGTCAAACACAAGGCCTGCAGGCCAGATCAGGCCCACGACACAATCCCATCCCATCCAGCCCGCAAAAGTATTTTCATTTTCTGTTAATATTAGCCTGTTTCACAAAACGCTAAACTACAGTCCCCAGCATGCACTGCAACGTAATGTGCTCCGACTCTCCTACCCCAACAAGAATCTATGGGACAGCGGTTACTCGTCTTACACAATTCCACACATTTCCACACCAGTCATATCACCAAACATACTAACTGCATTTCAGCTGCAGTTCAACCAGTATAAACACTTAAGCTCAGCTCAGCAGCTCAGAAACTGAGCCCAAGTCTTAATGAACCTGCAGCAAAGAGAAGGTGCCAGGTGTCGAGTTCAAGCAGATAGGCAGGTTTAAAAGACTGAGCTCCTGGGGACGTTTACGTTTTGAATATTTCAAGTATTCATGTAATATTTCGAGGTGCCTTTTAGTTTATATAAAATACAAAAGTTTTTGCGTATTTTGAATAAATAGTGGCCAGTTTGAACGACACCGTTTTAGGGCCGCTGTTAATAAAAATAAAAAAGTAGACTTCGAGAATAAAGTCGTAATATTTCGAGAATAAAGTCGTAATATTTCGAGAATAAAGTCGTAATATTTTGAGAAAAAAGGTCTTAATATTTTGAGAAAAAAAGTTGTAATACTTCGAGAAAAAAGTCATAGAATTACAACATTAAAGGGAGGGTTATGACTTTATTCTTGAAATATTAAAAGTTTGCACCATTTATACACCCCATTTTCCAAAACCAGCTAGTATTGTAGAGCAGAAATTCTAATTCCACTGTTTACAGCAGTTTCACTGCTCAGTGTGTCATTAAGTAGTTCTGAGCGATATACTGATATTGGTGTTAATAAACAGTATTGATTTTTAATTGTAGTGTTTTAGGTATTGCTTAATGAAAGCTTGGTTAACTGGAGTGTATACAGTTTACTGGGTGATTCACATTGATTTGGAAATAACATAAAACTAAATAAATTAAATGTAAGTAGCTGATTTAATCAACACTCAGTGCTGAACTCGCAGAGCAGCACCTACACGCCTTAGAGGAGAAACACACACACACACACACACACGTGGCACCCTCTGGGCCAGAAGTACTAAACCTGCAGTTTTAGACAGGTTATTGGGACTGAAAGATTAATGGTTTAGATCAGGGGTGTCAAACTCAGCCACTAAAAGGGCCATATTAAAAATCTATTTCATTTAATTAATCAGTTTATTTTATTTTTGCTTAACGTTTTGTCATGACCCCAACTGGCTAGTGTTTGTTCAAAATATGCCAAAACTACAACGGCAACAAATAGGCCCTGAATACTGTTGACAGCAGTAGACTGCATCAGCTGCAGATCACTGTTACACCTCTTTAAATGTCCTTAATGTACAGTAGGTTTTTAAAACTGCCCATTCGCTTGAACTGGACACCTGCCATCTCTTTTTTGTTTGTTTTGTCTTTGTGGCTCTGTCCCATAGATCGTTGTTGGGGAGGGGGTGGGACCACATTTACATTGCAGTGCATGCTGGGAATTGTAGTGCAGCTCATGGTGAAATGGGCTAACATGAATAGAAAATTAAAATAATCTTGCGGGCCGAATAGGATTGAGCCGCTTGATTGAGAGCCTGATTTGGCCTGTCAGCTCCTAAACTGACCCACATGCGCAAAAGAACAGAGCGTCACGCTGCTTCACGGCTCATCCAGAGGTAAACAATCACGACCGCCAACGAACGCCAGTCACTCCCAGAGGATCAGCTTCATCTTCACCAGCATCACAGGAGCCATCATGAAGCTTCACTGACTGACAGCTGGGCTCATCACCCAGAATGTGTTGGAGCCGTAAAAAGGGCGCGGTCACTTCTTTGGTTCACGTCCTCGGATTCTTTAAACTCTGCTTTCAGACTTTTAACTGTTCTTTGACGCTGCAGCCTCGTTCTCCTGCGGCCGCGTTCGGACATGTCTTTAGAAATCTCTTCAAACACGGAGGGTTTTAGATGAGTCTCTTCTAATTTTTGTACAGAAATATCGCCCCACATGTTAATAAGGTCTCAGCAGCGCAAAATTATGATGAATGTTGAGTTGGATTGACGTAAAAGTCGCATGAATTCCGATCTGGCTGTTGAGACGATTTACATTAAGATATGCAGAACATATTTACAGTACAAACCTTGTCAGTGAACTATGAGGGCAAAAACAAAATAATCGTTCATTAATCGTGATCGAGGTAAAATATTCAATTAATTGTGATATTGATTTGAGGTCATATCGCCCAGCACTACAGTAATGCCTTAACAAATTTAAGGAAGTTAATAATCATTTTTATTTATATAGCACTTTTCATGCCGGTGGCAGCTCAAAGTGCTTTACAGACAGGAGACAAAGCTTAACAGTAATACAAGACATTATAAGTATTAATTTAGAATCATATAAGAAAATGCCACAGATCAAAGCTTTCAGAGTACTGAACTGCAGTATGAATAAGTAATGAACTTTCCATACTTTGTGCTTCTCTACACTAAAGACAGCAGGTAGTTGGATGGAATTAGATGTAAGAAACTACAGTTAAATTAAATGCACACATGCACGCTCACTCTATAGGACAGGGCTTTAACTCAGAGAGAACAGGTCCACATACACGATGAGCACACGGACACTCACACATGGAGGTCTCTGCTGTTGTGGGTGTGTGTGTGAGAGAGATGCCCTCCTGTGCTGATTTGGTGAAGGAGCATATGTCTAAACCACCCCTCATTAAACTCCCTCATTATCCAACAGCACACAGACACTCTCTGCCCAAACACCCACACAGCTAATCCTGCACCTCAGGAGCCGTCAGGGTTAAACGTCTGTTACTGCGCCTGCTATAATCGGTTATAACACCCTGAATAGTGCAGACTGAGTTATTCTAGGAGGGGAAATGAATTTTCCTTGCTTTTTTGACATAAAAGAGTTTGATGTCACATGTTCAAAATAAACCAATCACTCTCCAGCCTATACAGTCCATATATGGAAACTGAGCTGTAAAAGCAGCCCAATTTAATTAATTAACCTGCTTTGAAAACCCAATGTAATGTTCTTTATTTTATTATTCTGCTTGTAATTTTCACCATTTTCAAGCTAGAACCACAGGATCGTAGAGCCTATTCAGCAGTGGTCGCCAAGTCTGGACCTGGAGATCCACCTTCCTGCAAAATCTAGTTCCCACCACAGTGTGCCACACCTGCTCCAGCTAATTAACTTCTTCTGAAGTCCTTGATTGGCTGGATCAGATGTGTTAGTGTGCGGTAAGACGAGGGGCGGCCTGTTACACATAGGTTGGAACTAACCTCCACGGGATAGTGGATCTCCAGGAAGAGGGTTGGTGACCACTGCTATACAGGAATCGTGCACTTGTGCTTTAGTAACCGGTCACTCACATGGTTTTCATTCAGCGTTCGTTCAAACGCAAAACTGCCACAAATGGCATTTCAAACTCTGCTCCTCATAGACGTTGGATACAGACTTGCTAGCACATATATCCATACATCTTTTAAGCCGTGTATCCTTCTGGTGCTGGAGCCTATCCCAGCGCTCATTGGACGGACAGGTCGCCAGTCCATCACAGGGCAGATACACAGACATACACATTCACACCTGGGGGCTATTTAGCATCTCCAGTCGGATTAAAGGCATTGTTTTGGACCGTGGGAGGAAACTGGAGCACCTGGAGGAAACCCACGCAGACACGGGGAAACATGCGAACTACCCACTGCGCCGTCATGACGCCACTGGCTCACATATGCTCATATATAGTTGTGGTAGGGGTGACATGGTGTGTGTGTGTGTGTGTGTGTATATATATATATATATATGTC